ATTGTGTAGTCTAACTTTTTACTGTGACACTTATTCCATTAAATACTGTAGTATTTTATATTCAAAGCAGATAAGATCTTAATGTATGGTTTTTTGTTTTATTAGGTGCACCTCCCTCCGAAACATAAGGGACAATGAAGAAAAAGATTCAGCATTCCGTGGAATTTGTACCATGATTACTGTCAATCCTAGTGGAGTAGTCCAAGTAAGTCTTGTATTGGTTTTGATATGCATAGCTTCATTAGATTTGGTTTTTTGAAAAGGCCATATGGTATTAAAAGCAGTATGGTGGCAATACTGAAAGTCAGAATCTTGTTAAGTTGAGAAAAGATTTTTAAGGTTATAAGCCAGTCATATTGCCTGGAAATGTTGGTAGTTATTTAAACAAAAGATGGACACATTCCTTGGGTCTGGCAGCTATCTTCTTCTGAACCCACAGAGGCTACACAGGCAAAATTCAGAAGGTGGAAGAAGCAGCCAATTTCATTTTAAAACCAAGTGTATTATTATAAAGCAGAATAACACTCCATGTACAAAAAATTTCTTGGGGTACAATATTGTTTTAAAATAGGGCACATCCTCTCAGGGAAATCAGTTTCACATTTATCTAGAGTAATGTTTTAAAGTAGTATGGTGGGATAGGCACCTTCTTTCACAACAAATGAATTTGTCACAAAATTCAAAGATACTGGGATTTTGAATATTTTGGAAATAACAGCAGTTCTGCTGAGTTTTGTTTTATCAGAAAAATGTTGCTTCCATTTCTATTCTTATTAGCTGTATTTTGGAAAATAAGAAACCTTCCCAGCATGTAGGTAGTACACAAACATTTGCGGCATCATAACAATGCCGCAATCTACAATCACAAGATTGCTTTACAATGGAAAATGTGAACCCCTAGATTAACTCAGAGGTTCTTAGAAAAATAGTACTCATTCTTGATACAACAAAATCATGTGATTAAAAGATCACTGAAATTCCGTTAAAGAAAACGAAATATTTCATCTTACTGTTTGACCAGTAATGACCCAACTCCTTTCCTGTATAATAGCACTAATATACTTGTCAATATCTAGCTTTTATTTACAGGTATGCTTGAATTGTACCTGTAATGTGTAACTGTCTCTACCTTTATAATATTGTTGCATTTTTTAAAATGCTAAACTCTAAAAATATACTCAAGTTTGGTCTGAATGAAATGAACCTCCATAGGTTGAGCATTACAGAATGTACTGTTCATTTCTTGACTTGGTCTGAGTACATATTATTTCAAATCCAAGTCAGGATTGGAAGGGGACGCGTTTAGATGCTTGTGTAAGAGAAAATAGCAATCTGATAAAGTGTTGTTCACTTCTTAGAATAAACTTAGGGCTAGAATTATGGTCCTTAAACAACCTTAAGTTTTAGAAGTAGGTTTGAAGGAAACAAACTTTCTAAGGATTGGTAGACAGTGAGAGTTAAACTACATTTTATGTGAGAGTTTGGAAATTGAAAATCCCCATACTCTTTTCTTTAAAAGGAACTACAGAAGAGATGGAGCATGCTATTTGGGAATGTAGGAGGAGAAGGGTATCTAACTTTCTCCTTCCAACATTTCCTTAATTTAACTCCTCTCAGCTGCAGCTACTCTCAGCCACAGAGGAGAGACTTAGGGTAACAAAATATTTTGCTTGAAAGCCTTTTTCAACCTTGTACCTACTTACAGTTTGAGGGCAGGGTATATAATTTGTTGCAAGATGTTGAAAGGTTAGCCCTTTCTCTATGCCAGGACCTGATCCAAATTTTCCTGCTGTCACTCAACACATCACTTGCAGCTTTTTTTTTTTTTAAAGGAAGATAGGGTTGTGGGAAATTACTAGGAGCTGCAGTTATGGGCATCCTGCATGATATCTGGCTTGCCTTTGAACTAGGCAGTGCTGTAAAAGAAATTTTGTCCTGGGTATATTTATTGCATTACATTCTTTTGATATCAGTGAAACTTCCAAATGAAGTGCTTCAAAGAGTAAGAATCTCACCTGTCATGGAATAGTTGTAATTATTTTCCAAACTAACATAATTGCCATTCTAACACAAAACTGTGTATTTTCCACTTTTGTGGGCAGAGGCTATCCATTCATTTGAATAAAGGGATAAAATTGTTGCTGTAAAGGAATATAAACATGGAATTAAATGAGGCACGCCTTGTGGGCAGAATAAATCCTTGTGTCTAGGAAACTTCTTAATTGTTGCAGCAGCAGAGTATGAGTTTCATGAACTAATTAAAACTGCAGTACACTCCAATCAGGATAGGTTATCACAAGTCCTGAGGAGGAGTGGTAGGGATTAACTTACTACTTACTATTTAGATGCTTTAAACTCTTCAGTGAATGTGACCAGACTTAAGGTTGTTTTTTTTTTTAAAGGAAAGCACTTAGGGATTAATTGAAGCACATGAGATTTCATTCTAAAAGAGTATGCAATCTGAGATGCATTCCTTAATTAGTAGCTGCAGGCAAAAAAGTTTAAGTTTGGGATTTGTTTGCTTTTAAAAAGCATTATTTGCTATGTTCATTTGTAAGTAGCCATTTCTAATCTGCACATTTTGTAAACAATTACAGGACTTTATATTTTTTTGTGATGCTGTTGCATCATGGATTAGCCCAAAAGATGACCTCCGGGACATGTTCTGTAAGGTAATAACTTTCTCAAGGGACAATATTATCAGAAACTGCAAGGTAGAGTGTTTTTAAAGTGATGCAAAAATAATTTAATGCATTTTGGTCATTTGAGAAATTGTCTTACAGAATCTCTTGCTCAGATTCCAGAATTAGTGCTGAATCCACTATGATTTCTACCAGTAGAATAGATCTTGCTCTATAAACTAAGAATTATTTATATTCACAAATGATTTGGGTAGCATACCTATCTTCCTACTTGAAACAGCTTGGAGGATGGCATGTATGTACCAAGAGAGATGAATATGAAAGTAGAGAGGAAAAGGGATTTGTCTTGTGTTTCTTCTTTCAAGAATGTAGGGCTTGATCTTTTTGCCAGATGCAGATTCACTGTTGTAACTAGTTTTTAAAAACAAGTACAATTTGAACTATAGATTTTGTCTCCAGTATGTGACTGTTTCATATGGATAACAGTTTAGAAGATAACTTTCATTTCCTGCTCACCTTCAGATCCTTCATGGATTTAAAAATCAAGTTGGAGATGAAAATTGGAGGCGTTTCTCTGACCAATTTCCTGTTCCCTTAAAAGAGCGACTTGCAGCTTACTATGGAGTTTAACATCATGTATTCAAGCTGCAGTACCATAATTAGAGGTAAGCAATTTTAACTGTCAAAGTTTCTCCTTAATTCTTGTCTGTGGAATAGAAACTAATTCCAAGTGGTCTTCACTCTTTCTAATGGATTAATTCTTTTGTATTATGGTTATTTCTCCCTCAAATGAACATATATTTCTTCACTTGGCAAGGACTAAAGGGGCAGTCTCATTTATTGGCCTTTAAAATTCCTTCTACCTGAAGCATGCCAGTGGCTACTTGTGCTAGTTGAGCACTTGGGTTGCCAACTGCGCTGCATATATCTTTAATTAGATCGATATTTCAAGCAGCAAAATAGGTTCTTTGGTCTGGGAGGTTATCCAGGATTTAAATTCTTTCTGCTGGACTCCAGAGGAAAGGATCATGCAATGAAATTTCTTCTACTTTGTCTCTCACAGGAAGCTCCTCCAAAGTTCTTTCTCTGTCTCACTCAAATTTCTCCAGAGGATCAAGGGAAAATTGTACTAGGCATGTCCTTTTAGGGTTTCCAGATTTCTCTTATTTTCCCTGTCCTTTACCTTTGGATTTTCATGCTTCTAAGAAATTCAAAATGTATGAGACCTGTCTTTTTCAGACCTCCGTTCTCCCCTAGCTAAAACAAGAGTTCAGAAAGTTGGAGCAGCTGTGATCTCAAGAGGAAGAGGTGGTAGAAATGGGAAAACTGGTGTTCCGTACAGGAATGGTTACCTCTACTCAGGATCAGCAGTAGGCAGATGACTCCACCATAGAGCAGGAGACCTTCTCTGTCCTCCACACAGCTGGATGGAGCAGAAACATGAGTAGCAGTACCTGCATTTCAACTTCCACAGGCTTCAAACTATGTCTTTCAAGTGATCTGGAAAAAATTAAGGTGCTTCCCTTACACAGTACTAAATGGTATTAGTTCAATATGATGATATTCTCCCGACAGCAGCAAAGAAAACCTAGTTAGCTACCTTAGCAGAGTTTCCTGGTCAAAGACAGCATTATTCTTCCAACAACATAACATCTCACACAGGGTCCTCATCTGGCTGGATTTATATAGTCGTTAACATAGATGTTCATTAAGCTTCCTTAATTTTCTAAAAGAATTTATCATCACCACAAAAAGCCATGAAAACAGGTGAATAAAATGCTTCTGTAAATAGGGCACTTTAGTAGATCAAAAGAAGCTTGATGAGCACCAGCCTATATTGCATATGAGCATGGTGGCTGGTTTCAGGTAATATAATAACTGACACTTAAGGACTGAGTGTAGATTGTTGTTGAACCATGATTTATAAGCACAGCTGAGTTCAAACAAAATTATAACCCACATTTCACTGTCAGCCTACACTCAGGAAATGATGTATGAGAAATCTGGTTTGGGGATAGGGGACCTGTTGGCTTTCCTTGGCTCAGCTTCCTAGACTTCAGCCCTGAGCTGTCCTCTTACCTGAGCATCTGTATGGACATCTGACAGGAAGTAAGTCTGCAAGACCAGCTTGTGTACACTCAACCTGCATTCTGGCTCTCCAAGTGGAGTTCTGCTTGCAGGTTTTGTGTACTTGGCACAAAGAAGTCTGCTAGTGTTGCTGAATGTTCATAGACTTGATCTCAGCTTGCCTCGTTCCTGGTCAAGCATGGGAAAGAAGTCCAGCAAATGCAAGAGAGCCAGACTCCAGCCATATCTTTACCTCCAACCCATATTTAGCCCTTGAGTGTGCGTTATCATGTTAGAAGCCAGTCAATGCTTGTCAGATCTTCTAAGGCTTCTCAGCAACAGCCAAAAATTAGCTCAGTTTCTTCTTTACTCAGAAGAATTCCAATTTAGCCCTTTCGTAGTGAATGTTTCTTGACTTTTGAAAGCTGTTGCTGCACTAGGTCTACAGCCAGCTACCCAACAATTGACTCCATGCTGCATTTTTTTCCAGAATCCAGAATGTCTTAATGCACATCTTGTACATATTCTTTCTTGAGGCAATGGTATTAGAATAGACAGCTTTTCTGAAATAAGAGAATTAACAAGAGGGAGTGCTTTCAGTGTGCTGGCACCCCATCTATGGAATGACCTTCCCACTATGGCCCACCCAGTGCCAACCTTGTCATCTTTTCGGGACCAAGTTAAGATGTCCCTTATGCTGAAGCTTTTAAATACATACTTGGTTATCCAGGGGCTTACAGGGATTACCCATCCCAGGTGTTTTTCTTTTTCATGGTCATTCTTCACTAGCAAGCATTTAGTTTTTAATTTTAATGTTTCTTTTGATAAGATTTTACAATATTTTTATTATATTGTTTTCATGCATTGTTTTAAACCACCAAGAGAGCTTCAGTTGTATGATCATTGTCATGTTCACATGTACTACTCACTTGAAGTCCCACTAGTAGAGTCTCTTGTCCCTGCTTTACTTTTAGTGAGGTCAAAGCTGCCAGTACCTTGGATGCAGAATAGACAGACATGATACTGGGTACGAGCCGCAAAGTTTCAGCTCTGACAATAGGAGCTTCTGCTCTGGTCTCCTGTTTTGGCCAAGATCTCTATTCTCTGCATTGGAGAGGCTTTCCTACAGGAGCAAGACCTGGACTTATCAAAATTAGGTGGAACTTTCCTAAAGCTTTCTAGTGCTCCTCCCCCACTTCAATAGCATATTTCACATTACTTTAAATTTCCTTGGTCTTGTCCAATCCTTGAACCACAGGACTGCTCTTGGTAAAGCAGGATTTGGCCACCAGGTTGCCATTAAAAGTATGGCCATGTCCTTGTCCATGGTTCTACTTTGAACCCATGTCTGGAAAGAAGGATCCCATAAATGGATAATGTAGTCCTGGCTGTAGGTTATGGTGGTCTCCAAAAGAACTTTAATGGTTTGTCTTCCTTGCAAATGAATATGGAGACATCATTAACAGCAGTTCTTGAAAAGAACTGTTGCATGGGTATCAATTCCACATTTCTAGTTGTGGCATAATGGGACTGTACAATGCCAGCTTCTTCAGGCAGTCTTACAATGATTTAGTCCAAAGTCTGACCCTCTATCTGTTAATTTCTCTTAGATAAACTAATAGCTTTCTTTGTGGTCCATTCACACCTTCCTCAGGCAACACAACATCACCATGCTTCACAGTTTCTATTGACCCGTGAGTTGTTAAACAACTAAACCTTACATATCCAGTGTTTGCAAAGGCAGGTATCAACAGGGAGAACCAGGTCACATTCCACAGCCATACAGGCCTCAGCGCTCTCGTGTGTAATCAAAACGTACCATACTAATTGTCCTCCACCTTCATTTTTGGAGATTACTTCATGGATCTTCCCTAACCAACCCTATAGTAGTCTGGAAATTCTCTCCCATAGTTCCAAAACCTCAGTGTGAACCTCTAAAATCAGTAGCATTAGCACTATTCTAATTCAAAATAGACTTCCAGTTTGTGATAACGTGTGGATCATATCCAGGATACTTTTTTGTTTTGTTTTTTCTATTAGCCTTTCTCATGGATTTTACCACAGATAAAAAATACTCCAATGTTTTTCTGTCCTTTCTGTTCTTCCAAATCAGTGCTTTTCCCTACCTTAAGCTTAGCTGGCGCACAGAACTAAGGATTTTATTTTCTGGGAAGCAAAATAATAAGCATTTGGTCATGTGATGAGCTTATGACTTGGAAAAGCATTTCCTGCCAGAGACTTAAGATTCTGCCAAAAGGGGAATGAATACAGCAGTGCATAGCTTGCTTTTTTTAGGTTGGTTTGCTAATCAGGCAAGTCTTTATCTGTGGCTTTTACTGGTCATTCCCCTCCTCATACATGTGCAGAGAACATGGGGAAGCAGGAATGTGTGCACTTGTGCTGGCCTCCTCTCTTCTGCAAAAGGCTCTTGAGAAGTGGGAACCTCTTTTTTCGAGGACAGCTGGCTCTCTTCCTTCCTATTTTGGAGGAAGAAGCAATTGCAGAGATGAATTTCTGGTACTTTCTGCAAGAACCCTGCTCTTTAAGAATAGAATCATATAGTACTATGATTGGAAGGGGCCAGTAAGGTCATCAGGTCAATCCTATGCTCACTGGAGAACTCCAAGTGAAAGGATCTCTAATAGATGGCTGCCCAGCTGCATCTTGGATGCCATGATCTAACAGTGAGGAAGTTTTCCCTGATTTTCAACTGGAATCCGGCTTCCTGTAATTTGAGCCGATTGTTAATTGTCTGCACACAAGGATGCTCAAGAAGAGAACTTAATCTTTCTCTATTTACCTACCTTTCAAATATTTCAAGAGTGGTATCTTATCTCCCCTCAGTCTTTTCAAGGCTAAGCCATGCCCCATGATTTCGGTCTTTCCTTATTAGTCTCTTTTGCCTTCTAAGTCTTTCCTCTGATCCCAATGATCTTTGTTGCCTTCCTCTGAACCTATTCCAGTTTGTCTGCATCTTTCCTAAATTGTGCTGCCCAGAACTGGATGCAGTAGTCTAGATGACGCCTAACTAGTGCTGAGAAGGGAACTAGAACTTTATGTGATTTGGAGCATTTTTTCTTAATGATCTTTGCACAGGCAAATGCATAAGCAAGTGAATCCAGTGTATCACTGGAATTTTTCTGAAATAGACCAGACTGATTTTTGATAACAGGGTCTATTCTTCAGCTCCATCATGCATTCCCAAGGGTGCAATATTCTTCCTCTGTGCTGGTAGCATTGGTATGAATTTTCGCTCGGTCAGTTTACCAAATAATTTCTATCCTTGTTCTCTCATTTCTTGCTGAAGATTTTTATTTCTGTTAGTTTGCATTTGTATGATCTTGCAGAGCCTTCCATTTTCCTGTGCCCAAAGCTTATGCCACGATGCCTTCCTTTAAAAAGACCAACAGTTGCAGGAAGGAACTTCCAGCCAGTGATAATGATGACCTTTTCTTCTATGTGTTCTTTGTGGATTTATTGCAGGTTCATCCTGCAAAATACTAGCTAATGTGTGACCACCACTCATTACTGTACAGAGACATTGGGCTAAAAAACAAGATTTTTGCTGGACATGCCAGCTGGAGAAAGGTTGCTTGCCACAAGTTATCAAATGAGTTTATGAAACTTGCACATATGTCAGTCAGTTGGAGGAGAGTTCAGTTGCTGGACAAAATGGCAGAAAGGAAAGTTTGGAAATGTTAATCCTTGCTTGAAAAAGCCAGCTTAGTTCTCAGTTTGCAAGGGCTGAGGCAGGGGAAAAGAAGTTAAAGATTTGTGATACCTCGGGTAGTTCCGCATATAAATTTATAAGTATGCCAGAGCAAGTATTAGGATGTTTGTCCCAGACAAGCAATTGACAATGGCGTGAGTTTTCAGTGAACTAACACAGCTGAAACTCCTGAATCTAGAATAATTTAAATGATCATTGTATGGAGAATGATCTGTTCAAGTAGGCGTTATGCTTCTTTGGGGGTTTAGTTTAACTTAGAAGTGATTAGAGCTGGCTTTAGAATGAAGTATAACTGCTGGTCATTTGTTTAAGGAAAGTTCAGGGCATTCTGAAAATGCCAGTTACTGCTTTGAATTTTTCCTGGAATCGCATACTGGGAAACCCATATCACTTTGCATTGGTGAATGTATTCAGATCTTTTATGTTTTAAGTAATTAAAGTAAATAAGAAAATTACATCTCTAATTCTTTGCTTCTTACAGGTCCTTCAGTCTGGAAGACTGGGAGGGAGCCTCTGCACCCAGGGAAAAAAAATGTTACCCTTTACTGGGGGGAAGGGTAAACCAGTAGGGAATACAGTACAATCCCAAGCCTACTGGGAGGGGCGGGAGGGAGGTGTTGCCGTCACTGTATTAAGCCGATGTTGGGAAATGTTTTACCATCTGGAGCTTTTGTGGGTGGAAATCTGTCTCCTGTTACAACTCTGCACTGGATGTGAAGAAGCGCAAAAAAAAAAAAATATTCACAACAGCACATTCTGCAATATTATGGAAAACTGTACCAAAATGAAAAGTATAAAATTGAACCATAGGGGATATGTAAGCAAGGAAATATATTGTGTTCATGTGATAAAGGAAACAGAAGAATGGGTATTATAGGCATTAAAAGGTGGCATAACAAGGGGTTTCTGCATTGTTTCATCTTGATGGGAATCCTAGGAATTGCATGTTAATGAAGAACTAAACAAATGAAGATAGTACTGTTGAAATGAAGCTTGCTACCTGTACTAGGAGCAAGCATTTGCAGTGTACACATTTAAATAACCCCATAATAAAGTAATAAAGGTAAATGTGAACAAAATGAAGCAACCTGCAGGATGCCAAATGAGTCACTCCTTTTCATTTTTTTGGGTGGGGGGAGGGGCATTTCAGAAGAAAGGTGAATCTTTTTAGTTTTACATTGACGCTTAAGAGGTAGTGAATATGATTTGATGGATGTACTTCATTAGATTTAATTTCTAGAGTAAGGCATAATTCTTAACGTGCAGTTTAAGGTTCAGGCATGCATTTTGGATCATAGTGATCGAGCGTATTTTTAGTGGGAAGGTAGCATGCTTGCATCAGAGTGAGAGTGGTATACACTTATGTTGCGCCAGTTTTGTGTTGCAGTTTACCAATTCAGTATAGCCCTGCATTAAAATTCCTTTAAGATTCTGTGGATTTTATTTTTTATTAAGAATGTAAGTATAAAATACTGTAGTTAAAATTAGGCCTTGAAATATCTTTTTAGGAACTCTTAGGAATAAGATTGATATTGTATTGTGTAACCTGCACAATGTGGAAAGCTGATATAGCTGTGCAAAGTATTGCCTCTGTGCTGTCAGTGTGATGTGCTTTCTGCATGGTTATACTACTAGTGATTTTTATCAAACCTAAAAATGAGTACATGGTAAGACCTGTTAAAGGCTACATAAATGTTAGTTGGCGCGTAAAGACAATTGTAGAAAATTGATGACATAATTGCTACATTTCAGTGTTTATTCCCACCCAACTTATTCTTTTATTATCTCCCCCCCACAACCACAAAGCATGATCTTAAGAGATGCATAAGTTAGTAGATGTAAAGCAGGGTATTTACACTGTATCGGCGCATGTTGGTGGCCCTTTGTGTCCGAGTGAAAGCACACAAGGGTGCAAGTTAAAAGCTACAGAGTGAACGTTGGTTTGAATCCTCTTCATTTCATTTGTTTAGCTTTTCTGTTTTTCCCCTCTACTCACTTGTATTCCTGTGAATAAATCCTTGTTAAGTTAACCCTTTACTTTTCTTTTCATGTGTATTTTCTTATGTACTGTGAATGTGAAAACTTAACTGGTACACTTGATCTTGTGTTACTATAAAAGTGGAAGTTGTGATTAATTTAGACTGCATTAAAGAGTATCCCATGATGATAAAGGAAAATGGAGAGAAAATAACTCTGCTGGTCAGAGAAGAAGCCACACTTTTCCATTTTCCCTTAAGTGCTGCAAAATTAAATCTGTGCAAAAAAAAAAAGAGAAAAAGAAAAAAAAAGAGAAAAAGCCATAACAGCCGCCTTACATTTTAGCTTCTCACCTTTGCATTGCAAAAATAAATGAAATGAAATGAAATGAAAAACAATACTGGATAACCATTTTTGTAGGGACTGACTTAGCATGATTTGGTTCTTTTAAGGTTGTATGATTTAGCCATTGCACTAAAGTTCAATCTTGTATGAGTTTATGAAATTTGACTTCATTTTTTTGTTCACTGCATGGAAGCATGCAGAAGTTTTATACATTCCGTTTTTCATTTTGCAAATTTGAGTGGGTTAAACATGCCTGAAATGACCTTTTTAGTACATGTCCTATACAAAAGCCTATAATGAATAAAGATAATTACACCATGCAATTCACTGGAAAAAAACGGATGTGGTGATCTACTTTCAGATTTAGTTGAGTCAGAAGCCACAACTTCTCTTTCAGCTGAAAACATAAAGTTACAGCTTTTCCAAAGTAGATACTAATTCTCCAGAAAGTAAACCTTAAAATTTAGTGAGGGTGGACTTGCCTTAGACAAGGGTTTACATTTGATTTTTTTCTGTGAATAGTACATCAGTCTAAGATTTCTACATGGAATTCTTTAAAACAAATGTTGTTTTGGCCCTTGTGAACTTGGAATTGTTAAGTTGCAGATAACATTGAAGATTAGCACAACATAGCTACTTGCATAAAATATATATAATTTTATTACATGGGTTAATATAGAGGGATGTGACTGTTTTACTGTGACTAAGCTGATCACACAGAAAAGTAACAAAGAAAGCAATATTGCAGTTAAAATGAAAATTTTGTTAATTCATAAAGTATAATATACTTAAACCACTTGGATTAGAATTTGAGGTTAGGAGAGCTCTGATACAACACTAACAGTTGTAAATCAACTATATTGCATCATGGGATATATAAAGCATCTTAATTCTACGTGTAGTCTTGACAATTTTTGAATGTTGACTGAATGTTGATACTGGTAGAATTGTGAGTTTGTCTTTGTTACATTCCAGTGTTCTCTGCCTCTTGGCATGCTACAAGCACGGCTTACTAAATCTGCTCCTTACACAGTGAATAAAGTGCTTAGTGTGCTAAACTACAGAAATAGCCGCTGCTAAGTGATGTAGATTTTCTACTTGAATATTTTTTGTTGTAGGAACCTCAGGAGGTCAGTGTTTACTGTTTTTATATATGCCTTTGTTTTCATGTCTAAGGCCCCCTGCTTTTGAAGGATTCTAACAGTGAACAAAGCTGCTGATCAACCTAAGTTGGTAACAGAAAGTGTATTTTAAAACATTTTAAATGCATCTCTTTTGCAGTTAAACTTGTCTTAATACAAAAGGAGTTTTAGTACAGTTGTGACTATTAAGAAAAAAAATCCTTTAACCTTTTCTTCATTCCTTTCATTCTGAGGGGAATAGATAAATTTTGTAAGTTTTTTAATATGATTTATTTTCTAAATTGGTGCATATAAGATAGATTTTCATGCTTTTCACCCTGATGCTTGAACATACTCACTTTGAAGTAAGTTCTATTAATTTCAGTGGGACTCACTTCTAAGTATGTTAAGGACTGCGGTCTCAATTATTGCAGTCATGGCAACATATAGAAAATAATGTGTTTTAAAATACATAGCCAATAGGATTTTTTTAAACCATAAAGTAATTTTAGTTTTGTAATAAACACTATTGATCCACACTGTGATAATTCTGATTTTTTCTTTAGCATTGGTATGAATTGCTTAAGCTACATAAGTACTGTGTAATTTAGATTTATGCTACTTGTAACAAGATTTCCAAAGTTGAAACTTCTGTTGCTATTTGGATAAGAAATATTCATACTAGTTTTATCTCAGGTAAATACTCTTGTACCCATTTTTGTTAGATATAGGCTTCTAGTATGTCTTAAGTGTACCAGTTTGTCTTTCATATAGGAACTGCCTAATGTCTTAACTCTCATATCTAAATTAACTTACTGTGGGACACCAATGACTTTGCTTCAATATAAGTCTCCTATTTTATTCATATTGAATGTATTTAACAAAGATGTGTAACATTCTTCTTAAGAAGAATGCATCTGTGCAGAATAGCACCTACAAATCACCATAAAGAGTGCTTTATATTGTGCAGTACTAAGTTTATGTTCCTGATTTAAAAAAAATCGATTTATGACTTGGCGTAAATACTTCTGATATATTTTCTGTATAGAGACCTAAACTTTTTTAGAGTAGTATATGGAATCTAGAGAATAACTCTTCTTAATGCGATCCTAGGCAGTTAACTTAAGATCAGACTCTTTGCTACTGTAAGCTACTGAATGCCAAGCAGTAATCTTTTAAGATAATGTTGCTGTTTGTGTATGAATATAATTATTATGTACTGTGTAAGCATTGGGCTGTCTGGAATACTTTAAACTTAAAATGGAATGAAAAAAACTTTACATTTTAATGCAGTTGTACTCAGCACTGCACTCAGATTTCAGATACTATTTCGTTGAAAATGTTGTCCATAACTCAATTGTGCTCTTTGTGCTATTTGTCAGAGCAAATCAGTGTTAGGCTGTCCTGAATGAAACTTTAATAAGGGTTGTGGCTTTTTGTCACTAAGAGACTGAACTAAAACAATGCAAGATTCTTAGATTTGTTTGTGCATGACAGGAAAACTGTGAATGGTTATACTGAAGTAAACCTTCACTCTTGTTTTGCAGAACAAATGCACTTTTTAAATAAGACAGTTATATTGCAAATCAGTTTTGGTACTGATGATACGGTATTTTTCTTCTCCTCTGTCAGTTCATTTAACAATGGTCTCTTGGGTGTGCAGCAAACTAGATCCTTAGGAAAATTTTGAGGACCCTCTATTCAATTTTTTTCTGTGTTCTCCCTGCCCCTGAAGGGTTTCTTCTCCCAATTGATTCTTTGTCCTAAAATGTTACAGGTGGATGTACTAGTTAAAATTTAAAAGTAGCAAAATTGATAGCTCTTTCTGCTGACAACTTAGGTTGTATGAGTTTTGCTTGAAAGCTTTAAATTGGGTGTGTGTTCTCTGTATGTTAGAATATTCCCTTCAAACATATCCTTCAGCAAACTCTCGAGATGTATTAAGTTGATTTTTCTTGTATGCCTCTGCTAACACAACTTCATTTGAAATAGAATATGGTTTTGATTTTTGATAAGCTGCTGAATTCTAAAGAGTTTTTTGGGGCCACCAAATATTTTGGATCATGCAGAGAATATATATTGTAATGTAGTAATTTTGTATTTACATTTGTATGATGTGACAATAGACGTGAATGTTAATCACTGCTTGACTATGTTAATAAAATTTGTTTAAATATAGATGCTGCACTCTGATTCTTAATAGAAACAGGAAGACCATTTAGGACTTTCAGTTTGCTTTTAACTTGATCATACATTCATGTAACTTTACATTTCAGATTAGAAACCTTCTGGGTTTGAATTTAGCAGTAAGAACAAAAATGTAGACTTATTATGTTAATATAATATCCTGTTTATTTCTTTGCTTCATTGGACTTTTGTTTCTGTAACTATAGATGAATAGATGAAACCACTGCTAGTAGAGTTAAAAATGTTGGCCATTATATACACTAATATACTGACATATATCAGACTACCAGTTTCACAGTCCAGAACAGGACCATATTTGGCCAGCTGATAAGTTGATACTTAATTCTATTTTAACTTATTTTCAGTAGAGAGATTTTCCCATGACCTAGTAAGGGGGTCCCCAGCATGATGCCCATAGGTGCCGTTTATTATTTATTTCTCTATTGCCCAGTAACTGAAGCTCTCTGGAAAATATAACAGCAGCACATAAAATACAATAGAAGTATAATATAAAAAGTCCTGATAATAAAAACATAAAAATTAGACCACAAAATTTAAATGCCAAATTTCAATGCTAATTTTAAAAGCTGCAATAGCTTATTTCACAAGATCTGTTAGGTGATATAATGCTCCAATATTTAAACTGATTAAATATCATGTCAGAGAATAGTCTTAACCCAGGATCAAAAAAGAAAAGGAAAAAGAAAAACAGGCTTGGTGCCAGGTAGGTCTCAGTGGGGATTGTGTTCCATAATGGCGGGGGGCTGTCAATGAGAAGACCCTCCTTGTTGCCACCAAGTGAAACATCCTTGGAAGTGGCAGCAGCAGACTCCAGTTCTTGAATGTGGTATATTGCAGTTAGAAGAGGCATTCTGCTACCAAAAGAGTGTTGCCAAATGGTGTACAGCCTTATAGGATAAAACCTGTAAACTGAACTAGGTTCAAAAGCATATAGGCAACCAATGCAAGTGGACCAGAATTGGTGTTTGGACTTTCTTTCACAGTTATTCATCTGGCTGCTGCATTTTGAACAATCTTCAGTCTTCAAGAGTAGCACCATGGATTTCATACAAGTAACTTTCTAACAATTACATAACCTTCAAAACAATAATACATTTGAAAGTGGCATTTATATGCCAACCATTTGAATAGTGAAAACATTGTATAGTCCTCAACCCACTGCATTATTGGTGAACATCCAATGTTGTAATATGTCTTCAGTTGACAAAATTTGCAGAAAATCCATGAACCAGGTAAATGAATATTAAAGACAGTGCAAACTGTGTAGTAATCTCTACTCTGGCCTTTCTCAGCCAGGGCTCCCTGGAACTTGCTGGTTGCTGGTGCTTTCATGAGAGATCAAGTACATTTGTATACAAAATAAGCATTGTGTGTTCACATGTGTGTGTGTGTGTGTGTGTGTAATATAAACACCCACTTTAGTGCCTGAAGAACCCTTCCTTTTGGCCCTGTTGCCTAGGAGATGGCCTAGGGAGAATAAAGGATGTCATGAAGAAATGGTCAGGGCAGAAAGCATGTTTGCCTCAGGCTCATGGAGAGCAGCACAGCAGCAATTCCATATTCCTGCCATTAAGCAGCCAGCAATGGCCCTTACTTCACATCCTTTCATTGTGCACACCCTCCATATTTACAAATGGATGCCGTTGCTGAGTTGAAGGGGTCAGAAATGGGCCCCAGTCAGTGGGCCACCAGTGAAGATTCTGTAGGCAGAGGCAGCCTATCTAAGGCACAGTGCTGGGATGAGGAAGTGGCGGCGGCTGCCTTCATGCCTGGCTGGTGGACCCTTCCAGGCAGATCATGCCTTTGCCCTCTTAATCTGCAACGCAGTTCTTTTAGGAAGGGTGGGCAAACTGTTATGTCACATTAATAAAATCAGTAATAAATCTTGTACTTCGTGCATGTGCATAGGTTTGACTGAGGAGTTCATAGACTTGGGAAGATGTTGCAAAATCACCCTTCCCTACCTTGATGTCTGAAGTTCAACCCAAAAACCAGCAGAAAGGTTTCATATTAAACTAACACTCATTCTTTTCATTTCAAAACTAAAACTGCATTTAGCCAATATTTTGTTCATACTGCTTTATCTTATAGTTTTCAGTAACCATACTGTTCAATCTTGTCAATATTCATGTTGTAAATAGCAATGACTAATTTACCACCTTTATTTTACATTTAATCAGGCCGTACTTTCATAAGCATTTTTATGAACGGGTTCCCTGAGACTTGAAAACTATTTCAAGAGTTTCCCAAGATACCAAGGCTGAGAGAAGCTGCTATTCCCATTATACAACTACTAGCCATTACCAAAACATACTTAAAGCAGCATTGGCTGCACTGCACCACCAGCAATTACCTGAATTAGGGAATTTCTTATTAAAAAGAGATTGTGGTGTCCAATAGGTAGAATGTTTTTGCTTAGTAAGATGAAGATGCAGGTAGATGAAAAACTGGCAATCTTGTGGTGGTGCCCTCAGTAGTTCTAAAAATTCCTAAATGTGCCTGCAGCCTCATACAGCTTGGGAATTCTGATTTACTGTGTCAAATATCAAGAGAAACAATAGCTGATCTATGGAAGCCATAGCCACTTGCACCGGTCTCATCCATGTTGCTGTGACGTGAACTATCCTCATGCAATGAATGGTGGCATAGGGAGTATGCAAGGCATATAGAAGTATCTATACCTTCCTTTCTAGACCAAGTTATGGGACATCATATCAAAAATGTTTGCACAACCACGGAGCACTGCTGCACAGGAACAGATGTTCATATTAGTGTTTGTTGCAGCTCCCCCCTGCCCCTGCATTTTAAAGCTCTGCATGTGTGTACCTGTGATTGGGATAGTAAGGAAATAGTCACTCATTACTGCATGTTCCAATTTAAAAAGTGATATACAATTGGCACGTAAGTTCTGGAATTACCGAGAAAGGATATGGAGCATTTAATGAAATCCACAGGTAGTCAACTCCCATCACTGTCAAATCATGGTCTTTTAAAAACTGGATTAGGAGACCAATGCAAATGTTAAAGGGGACAGGGCTCATTATTATTATTATTATTATTTTATTCGATTACTTTACTGTACCACCCATAGCCAAAGCTCTCCAGGTGGTTCACAACATTTAAGTTACCAATCAGGATGTCATCCAAGCCCAACTCTGGTTATCTTCCAAGATTAGGCAGGATCAGGCACTTCAGACTATACAGAAGCTCTTTCTTCATCGATCTGTAATTCAGGCATTGATGAAAGTCATTTGCAATAATATCTAAGGCATAATTCACTAGGTTCTTGTGACACCTGATTAGCTGCATTTAAATGAAATGTAGGGGAACAACTTTACTTTCACAGCCACCAAGTAATGTGGTTTGAGTACTGGAAAAATCTGTCTGTAACTTGTGTCATCCTAAAGAGGAAGCAACTGTACCGTATTTGACCTGGAAGGTAGTGAGTAGGAATGACATGGACAAAATAATTAGGGGAATGTAATCTATAAAAGATTTTATTTACTATACAAGTATGCAAACCTTTTTAAAAATCAAAAACAATTTTAGAAACTGGAAACAGCAACAGCAACTTACTTTTAACTAGCAATTAAAGGTATAATGGAATATGAAGAACCTTAGAGTGTAGTCTTATGCAAGTTTAGAGTGAAAAAGAATCCTCCAACTTCCAGCATTCCCCAGCCAGCATGGATGATGTTCCCATCTAAATTTGTGTAGGATTGCACTGTTAATCTGCTTGTGCAAGGGAAGATGCTAGACATATACAGCCCACTGGAGAATTTTCCTCATCTGTGATGGCAATTGACAAGGCCCGACTCTGGTGGAAGCCAACCTGGACTCAAAATAAGAGAAACTACAGTCTGAATTCCTTAAGTAATGCCTTAGGTAATAGTGATCATATCCAGCTCCACATCTTGTTTTTATGGGGGTGGGATCTCTGCCCAAATATCCTTGTAGCCAGTTGGCTTATAAAAGTTATTTGTATGTACTAAGTATTTTTATGGCTGCTTTGTCATTCTGCATGATCACACATAGTTCACATGGGTAATTGACCATTCAGTTGCTGCCAAAGATGATACTCTATCTCTTCAGCAGGCGATAAAAAAAATAAGTCAGAACGTGATTCATCAGACTAGAGACTGGGATTGTAAAATATATTGTTGTTTTGTGGTCTCTATGACACACACACATGGGTAACATGCCTACATAGGACTGCCATTCAGAACATTCTAGATATAAGCAGTTTCAGGTGGGAGATCCACCTCTCCCCTCTGTAAATGTTCTGGAATAGCTCCCACCCAATTCTTTTTTATTGGAAATCCAGGTCTTTTCTGTTATATCAGCTTTGGCTTTGCCTTTGACTGCACTGGTTCAGTATCAGAGAGTAAATCCAGAGGATGACCTATTCCAGGCCCTTATCTGCCTGCCCTTTGGGACCACTCTCTAAGGCTACCTTCACAGTGGTCACCTGTTTACTGGACTAGATCTCTCTGATACCAAGAAACTTCTCCAGCATCATCAGGGAGTTTTCTCCACTACAATAACAACATGTAGTGAAATGGTCACTATTGTCCCTATTATGCTTAGTCACCTCCATCCTACCAGTCACCCCTGTGATGGCATCACTCATCTTCACATTGATATGACTATCTATGTCATGATACCTTCTGCTGCTACTACTACCTCACTCCTCTCATGATAGCAAGCTGTTAGAGATGTCACCCACCTACACTGTGTCAAAAATGTCTGACACCCAAATGTCCCACACAGCCGCGATACTTAAGCTAACTATCTTATTGTTTGTTCTACGTCCACCTCTCCTGACTAACTTATTCCCAAACAGCTTCCATCCAAAAATTCCAAACTCTGCTGCAGAAATCCAGGCCCTGACACCAAGAACTCCTGCACTACAACCACTGGTTACTCAGATACTGCCCTTTACCAGTCTGGAGTCATCAGCTGCATTGTTTTTCAGGACAGGATGATTGCTGCTCCAATTTGTCATCCTCACAATCCACAGTGTCTTTCATCTCTTATCCAGATGTTGTTGTGGGGGAACAAACCCCTCTTGCCCTCATACAATGGCAGGTCCTACACAGAGACAAAACCACAAATGGCAAAATCGCTTAGACTAAAGATCATAGTTCCTCTGATTCCTGGCAAAGACCTGGTGTTCAAGAGGGTCCAGCCACTCTTAGCTCCCCCCATTGTTCTTACACTCCTTACTCTACTGCAAAGGATCAAACAATCATGGAAACACTTTTCACCGTATCTCCTACAACCAGACAGATAAAGGAATTGTACAGAGCCCAGGACGAAGATTCCTCTTTCTTATTTAAAGATCCCACACTTAGCACCATAATTGCAGAGGTGTCCTTTCCTAAGACTAGTCCCAGCCTGCTTCTGTACACTCAGAAGGTAGAAAGTTGGGCTTGGTGGGATATAATATCTATTCCAGTGCATCTCTAGCACTCAAAATAGTAAACCATGAAGGTTGCATGGCTCCCTACCATATGTTTCTAAGGGAAAAAAGTTTATTCAACAGCTTCCAGGAAGTTGTAAAAAAACCCCTGATGCTATGTCAAGATGAAGCTTGCAGACTGGAGGGCCCACAAATCAATATGGCCCAGCATATAGACAACTGTGATTCTATGGTTGTGGCAGCCATTACAATCACTTCAATTATTACACCTGGATTAGAACAGCAGTGTTTAACCTGGAGGCTAGATCCAGACTGGAAGATCTCCTGTTCAATCCAGTGAAGGACTGCCTCATCAGGTTTGTCACTCCTTGGATTGGGTGGACCATGCCAGCGAATGTACTGGTGCCCATTCTCTCTGCCCATGATCATAGAATCACAGAACAGTAGAGTTGGAAGGGGCCAAGAGGGCCATTGGGTCAAACCCCCTGCTCACTACAGGACTCCAAGTGAAACCAGAGGCATTATTAGGGAAGAATGGCAAAGGACAATTCCTGTAGAAACAAGAAAAAGTCTAGATGGATGACAGAAGGAACATTCACAGTTGCAAAGGACAGGCAAGAAACAAAATGACAGAATAGGGCCATAATCCTGAATGGAACTTTTCAGTGACTAACAGAGAGACAAAAAGAACTATTACAATGATCAGTGCAAAGAAATAGATGAGAGCAACAAAGAGGAAAAACAAGAGAGCTCTTCCAGAAGATCCAAGAAATCAAACATTCAAACCTAGATTAGGAATACTAAAAGACAAGCAAGGGAACATACTATCTGACCAGAAGAAATAAAGAGAAGGTGGAATGAATACACAGAAGAGATGAAAAAATGTCAAATTTCTTCAAAGAGGAATCTTAAGAAGAAGAGCATGCAATTTTAGAAAATGAAGCAAAAGCTGCTCTGAAAATGCTCACATAAAGCACCTGGAGTAGACAGGAATAGAACTATTCCAAACTACAGAAAATGAATCAGTCCAAATCCTAACAAAAATATGTCAACAAGTATGGGAAAAATGGCCCACAGACTGGAAATGTTCACTATATATTCAAATCCCCAAGAAAGCAGATGTCAGAGAGTGCAGCAAATAGGACCATCGCATTGGCTCATGCAAGCAAAGTGATCCTCAATGTGCTGCAGCTGTTGCTTCCAAAGTTGGTGATAGTATGAATTGTATTACTAATGTTGAGGTGGGGAGTGTTAAAGAAACATTTGTAAAAAGTACAAATAAATATCAGAAAAGCGTAAGAGGACAAAAATACCCTTCATTCCTGAAAAGCTATCATTTGTACAAGGATTCACCAGGAAAGAGCATTCAATATCAAGGTATACAGTCCAATATGCCTTTCATTATTAATATGGTATGTAAAGAATGCAACTTAGCGCCACAAGATTTTCAGCCTGGCTGAGAACAATTTATTAAATCTAGAATAAATCACTCAACCATTTAATCACTTTTCAAAAGAAGCAGAACTCCATATTTGCTTTTAATCTTAGGAATGCAAAAAGGTCAAGGGGTTCGTTCGTTCGTTCGTTCGTTCTTTCTTTCTTTTTCTTTCTTACTCCACTCTTTCAAATTACCTCAAAGTACTGTTTTTCATAGGATACCATTTTCATCCTACTGAATCTTTCTCTTCAGTATATTTTTTCAACCAGTTTTGATTTATTTATTTGGTTATTTATTATAGGGTGGCTGGAAGGAGTGCACATTCCCTACTGCATGAGAGCCAGCACAGTGTCATGGTTAAGAGCACAGGCCTGGGACTCGGGTAATCTAGGTTCTAGCCCCCACTCAGCCATTGGTCCAACTGGGTGAGTTTGAGCCAGTCACAAACTCTTGGCTCACAGGGTTGTTGTTGTGGGGATAAGATTGAAAACAGGAGGAAGATGTAAGCCACTTTGAGTTCTTTGTTAAGAAAAAGGGTGGGATACTAAATAAATAAATAGTATTATTCTGTGGGAGTATGTCTCCTTAAAAGACTGAGACACAAGTTTTCATGGAACAGAATCTGCTTTATCAAATATGGTTCTCTTCATAGTGTGAACATAGTTGAGGAAGGTAACATGGTAATGGATATCCTATGGCATAGTACTTATGCTCAACTGAAGAGCAAGAGCGCTGCAATGCCAAACCAGTTGTTGTAACAGTCACAGAAGATCAGTGCAGCCTGAACTGCGAAAGCACAAAATGGCCTTAAAACATGGCAGTTAATATGGCTGAGACTGGTCATAAGGAGATCAGTGGAGGAGGTGCCATCGGGTAAATAGGGAGGTAGGGCAGGAAGTGTAGCTGGCAAATGCATTGTGTAAAGTGAGATGTCCTGGTGGCATGGGTAATAATAAGCACCTGTCTGGGAAACAGGACAGTGGAAAATTACCAAAAAGTGAGGCAAAAAGGCCATTTGAAGTGATCTTGAAGTGATCAAGCTCCCTTGAAATTATTTGAAGCTAAACTACCTCATTTAGAGTTCAGATTTCTCAGGCATCTTCGGAGGATGTTTGAAAATCTTGGGTGGGGACCTTAAAGATGAATGAATTATTGGCAAAAGGTACTGGAAGGGCAGAAACTAAGCTTATTGTCCAAGCAGCCATGGGTGGGGGTTGGACTGTAAACAGTAAAGAAAGGATTTTTCTATGGGTAGTGCGCAGGTTTTCATGCACTGCTCTGAAATCAATGCAGGCAACCATCTTTCCCAGGAGGACAGAGCCTAAAGGAACAATTCTATCCTTGTTTAGTGAATTACAAGCCATGTAGGCACGAGTCCAATTTTTGCTGATCATCCAGCTACATCAAGCACTGATCATGACCACCCATCAGCAGTATGAAATGTCCCTGCTCTTTCAAGTCCAGCATTTTTTTAAAAAGAGATCCATTATGAATCAGGTGAACAGGAAGACTGAGCAAAAATAACTTTCAGAACAATTTAAAATATGAGGGAAAATAAATATCCGTGCCTGGAGGGGGTGGGAAGACAGCACTGATGCTCTTGAGCACAGAACACTCAGAGAACTACTGCTGTGCAGTTGAAAGACACTTAAAGCTTTTGTCCAGCCAGTTGTGCTCCTCCAAATGTTTGACCTACCACTCCCACCATCCCCCATTGCATAACCAAGCTAAGAGTGATGAGATCTGTAGGCAAAAAGTCTGTCAGGGTACAAATTATCCACCCCTCCACTAGAGAAAGGTCTACAGGCTCAGGGAGGAGAGTGTCAGAATCACAGAGTTGAAGGGAGGATTTAGGCCATCTAATCAATCCCTCTATTCAATGCAAGAAGTCTAGCACATCTCCACCAGATGCCTGTTTAGTTAGGGAGCACCATCAGCCCCTAACTCTTATGACGCAGCTAAAGGGGGGCTTTGCATAGGTGCAGAAACCCTACCTGGAACTCTAGTTGCCCCAAAGAAAAAAATGGCAAGTGCAGGATTGGGCTGCAGTAATGTTAACTGCCGTACATAACTAGAAATTTAACAGGGCAGCTGGTCATAGCAAAGTGTTGCCATGTTGAACAAGGTGTTACACAGAAACTTTGTGCAGCTATTATATTACAGGAAATCTATTTTATGTATCTTCAACTGAGGGGAGAAAACCTATGCCAGCAGTTGAAATGGTTGAGAATTGGAGGAAATACAGTTAATTTCCAGCTCTTAAAAAACCAATTTGTCTAAAATAACTCTAGCACATATCTAGTGTCATTCATATATAAAGTCCTACACATCCATAGCCAGATGGACTTCTGCCTCTGGGGCCTTTCCAGACATGTTGGACTACAGTTCCCAAAAGCACAGCAAACAGGTACACTGGCAAGACTCACTGAGAGTTGCAGTCAACACATCTGGAAGGAACCAAGCTGGGATGACTGTAGTGAGGTCTTTTCCTGAGCTCTTTTCCTGTAGCCAGTGCTGGGATGGATTGGGTTGGTGTGCGAAAGGTGCATGCCCCTCATGGATGAAATTTTCTTCCAACTGAATCATAACATTAATATTTATTTATTTATCTGACTTGTATGCCACCCCATTAGCCACAAGGTGCTCTGGGAGGTTCACAACATGTTATACGACAGTTAAACAATCTAATTAATAATACATTTAAACAACTCACAATATAAAACCCAATATAAAGATTAAATAAATAAATAAAATGAACATAAAATTGTGCAATCAATATATTAACCCATTTAAAATAAGCTTAATAAAAAGTAAGATAAATTATGCATACTAAAATAAAATAAAAATAAAATTCTGGTGCTAATATAATAATATAGCAGCACCAGAATAACAACATGCTGTTAAAACCATTGAACCAGACACTCACTCATCAAAATAGTAATGAAAAAGAAAAGTTTTTAACAGGCATCTGAGGGAATAAAGAGATGGCGCCAGCCATATCTCAGGTGTTGGTCGGTCTTGGAGACTTTTTTGATTTTTAGCTTGGGGATTCAAACAGCTTTCTGACATCACCTGTGTGCTTATCCAACACTACTACTTGTTTCTCAGATAAATCATACACCACAGAGTGAGGGCACGACCATAACAATGGCTTATTAAATAACTTGAATAAATTACTAAATTAAACATGGTCCCTCCTCTGTTCAGTTCATCTGCATAACATCATACACAATCAAGGATCCCAGATGCCTTTGGAACCATTAGCCACACTGCAACTACCCAGAATCTAAGCATGGTAGAAGATGACCTGTGCTGAGGAAATACACAGAAGGTTGTGTGAACACTAAGAGGCTGGCCACAATTTCTGCTGCTTCTGGATGCACACTCCTAGTTCTACTATCATGCAGCCTTTCTGCATGTCCATCAACAGATATTTTTGTGATAAGCAAAGAGAGAAGATGTAGTAGGACAACAAAGATTCACAACTAGAAGACAATACCGGTTACTTCCAGATGGTACTCCTAGTAGCCTATTCTACCTTTTCTCTCTCAATGAATGCTTTGTACTAAGAGAAAAGACAGAAGGACCAGGGGTAAACTAGGAGGGTTATGAGTGGAAGAACCCAGGGTGCCCATGTTTATAAGGTGAAGCACAAACAAACAACAGTCTTGTGACACCTTACACTAATGAAGTTAGAATATGCCAAAGAAGGCACGCCACCCCCCCCCCGCCATGTTTTGAATTACAGCCCTGACTACTATGGCCAAAAACTATATGTATTCAATTTCTACCTCACATTTCTGCCATAAAAGATGTCTGACAAAATCTTAATAGAAACAGAAGAGGAAAAGCAAATGTAAAGCGGTACAAAATAAACAGCCCCAATTTAGCAACTGGCACTGAGGGTTGTAGTCCAAAATATCTGCAGGACATGTGTGTGCATAGGGGAGATTTTATAAACTTTCATTAGCTAGAATCCACATTATCTGCCCCTTCATTCAGTTGCTTCCATTCGTTTATTTTCATTTTTATTCTTTTATTTTCACTCATCTGCTTGTTGGAACCTGGTTAAAAGGGCCACTTGATGGAGGTGGCTTGCTAATGGCTCGAATAACTGCCTTATTCAATGGCCTAGTTCACACCTTGCAAAAATCGAGAATATGGAGCTGACATTGAACCATGGGTCATTATTATGTGCAAAGCCAGAGCTATGATTTAACTATGGGTAGTTAACCATGAACAGTCCAGGTTGAGAACCTATGATTTGCTCTTGGCTTGTGAACTCCTTTTGACTGTGGTTAATAATTCATAGTTAAATCATAGCACAAGGTTCATAAGTAACAACCCACAATCCAAGAACAACGCATACTCACCACTCCGGATTGTGTGAGAAACGTCACCGACTTGCTTCGGTTGACTTCTAGATTGCCCTTCCATCCATAAAGACCTTAAACAAAGTAATGGAAGGGTTGGGCGCTTCCATTACTACAACGATAGGCGTTGGACTACAACGCCTATCACTTCCACTAGCATGGCTGGGGCATGATAAGAACTCCAGCCCAACACATTCGGAGGGTGCCAGTCTGGGGAAGGAAGCGATACGATTGGGGCTGTTTCATCCCCTTGGCAGCCTGTTCCGCACACACACCTCCAGACGGCCGCGGCAGTCCCAAGACCGGGCCTTCCCCGTGCTCGGCCTCCAGAACGCCGCACATGCGCCGTGCCGAGACTGCTCCCTCCCTTCCATAGGAAAGGCAGACGCGTTCCTGCTTCTGTGCGGCGTCGAGCGTCGGTGCCTGCGCCTTGGCGCGCGAGCAGGCGCATGCGCTGTAGCGGCCGCCTGGATCGGCTCGGGAGAGACTTTGGGCAGGAGGGATTGGAGCTGTGCTGTGAGGGGAAGGGCGGCGTTCGGAGGCTGTTTCCTCTTTCCGAGGCCCCGGTGGCGGACGAAGCCGGGCCGAGGCGGCGAAATGGTCATGGAGTACTTCGTGGAGAATTTCTGGGTAGGGAGCTGGTTTTGTTCGGAGCCCCCTTCCCTCCCTCGCCTGCCCCCCGCCGGGCTGGCTTGTGTCACGCACAATAGAAGGGAAGGAAACGAGAAGGAACGAGGGGAGACGGGGTAGGACGACGAGCTGGAGCCGGCGGCGCCTCTTCCCGGCTCCTGTGCCAGCTCCGGGGCAGGGCTCGGGCCTGCCGTTGTAGCGGTTGCTGTGGCAGGGAAGCTGCCGGTTGGGCTCTGGGCTTCATTTTCTCGCGCTGGGCAGCGACCCTACGCTGAGGCGGCCACCCTCGGGCCAGCGCCTGCTGCTTTGGGTGAGCGAGGCGGGCGTCCCGGAGGGCTGGGCAGCTGTGCGGATGGTGCTGCTTCCTAGGCCAGTATCCTTGTGCGGCTCATGCCCGGGGGTATTTTGAGTCCGTGTCCTCGTGAGCAGGAGGAACCTTAGCACCTGCTCCAGCGGTGTCCTCGTAAGCGCCACAGAAGGTGGAGGGGGGAGCTTCCGAGGCGAGCTATTCTGAGGGGCGTCTCGCTCGGCGGTAGAAGGACGGGCAAGGTTGGATGGGATTGTTTACTTTCCCTCTCCTGTACGCTCGGTGTCAAAACCCTAGAAACTGAAGCTTCGCCCAGTGGAAGTTTACTCGACGTTCTGCCTCCTCCCTTCCTCTAGTCGCTCTTACAAATGCCGCTCTTGGTTCTTTACAGCTTTCTGGAATCCCAGACTGCTCCGTCATGGTGCTTTCAGGTCTTTAAACTCGAACTGTTTATTTGCAACTTAACAGATTTCTTACGCATCTGTAAATCAATAAAATAGAAATTCGAAGTCATTGCTTGTAATAATAGTCGCAAGTCACAATCTGAGCACAGCTTTTTAAGTACACGCACACACACACTTACTGGAGTAGTTATGGACTTGAGTTACAGGCTAGAAACCATTGTGGTGTTTTAATAGTAAATAAAACCACAGTGGTTAGTAATTGTGGTGCAAAACCAGGAACTTAAAAACAGCAACCCTGTGTTGTACATGTATGCCTTCCACACTCTTGTGCTGTCCAGGAGTGAAACCTACAAGGAGATACACTTTGTTGCCCATCTGTTCCACTTAAACAATCAGAAGAAAATGAAGATAGTTGTAGTATACATTAATTTTAAATAGCACAAATAGGCTGCTAAATAGTGTATTTAGAAACTCTTATGTCTGCCTTCTGTGTTGAGTTTCTAAGAATACCTGTGCGAGGTTGACTTGTGTTTCCTATTCTTTGAAAAATCCATAAATAACCATTTTTAAGTTTTGTGAACTAGTACAGAATTTAGTGAGATTGCAGTCTGGGGAGTAAGGTCTATGGAACCTAGTGACTTATTTCTGAGTAGATGTGTGTATGTATGATTGCACTGCAGTGGTGGAAGTCAAATACCTTTAAGCTTTACATTTCTCTTATGTTCTTTGTGTTTTTTAGACTCTAAACCATCTTTCTTGCATATGGATAACTTATTTGTTTATTTAAAACTTTTATATGCCGTCCCTTATGCATGGCATCTCGGCTCACAACCTATAGGCATTATGAATATTACACCACAGTTATATACTTAGAAGATAGTCCTACTAAATTCAGTTGGGATATACTCCATGGGGTTAGGTTATCAGCAGATGTTTTTGGTGGAGATGCACAAACTGTGATCAGTACTGCTGTTGTGAAAATCATCCAGAAGGTTGGCATGTGGTTTTTTTGAAACACTGGACCACCTTTTAGAAGGGAAAGCAGCCCTAGTGGATGTTAGCGTGACAGTTTGTGTGGTAATTCTGTCAATACTTCAACAGTCAATTGGTGGTTTACTACTTTCGGGGTTTAGGCCTTGTAAAATTCAGATTCAGCCCTCTCTGGTGAATAGGATGTATTCATCTGTGCAATGAAAATTTCTTATTTTTTGATTTAGGGAAAGCAGTATGGAGCTATGTGATTCTTCTCTGTCACTCCTTTAGACAGCTGTATTTGTGTTTATATTAACATCTGTAGCTCTGCTTACAAAGAGTAAGGGAATGTGCCAATACCTTAGTGGTTGAGAGAAATGCTGAAGGCAGGTTGCATTAGAGTAGATTTCAAGGGTAGTACATGCTACTAAGCTTGACAAACTTGAATACCTGCCAGTTCTGAAGTGAAATGGAGCTACCCAAAAATAAGGTAGTTGATTACTTGTAGTGGGGGGACCTGAAGTATGCAGGGTTGTGAATTTAATAAATAAATAAATTAAGAGAAAATTTATCGAATGTTGGTTTAATGATTTTACTTAAGCACACATTACACTTTAAATTCAGGAGATAAGAAGAAGAAACAAAGGAAAACAAAGGGGGGGATATAGGGAAGGAATGAGGAAGGGTTTAATGTTTTGGATTGGATAATGAAAATAAGTTAATTAACTGTTCATAATCTCCAGGAAAAAAAACCCAGACCAGAAGCTATGAACTTACAAAATGGTGGCGGTGGTGGAGTCTGTGGGTGTACATAGTATGTGGGAAGGAGGTCAACAGTGTTAAATCTATCAGTCAAGCCTTTATCTGAAAACATTTGAAGGCAGAAGGCTTATGTATCAATTGAAAACAAAACCAAAATAGAAAATTAAAAGATAGGGAAAAATGGAGGTCAGAAGAAGGAGTTGACCTGTTCAGCCCGGATAGCTTGTAGTAACTGTACTGGAAAAGGAGATTAGCATTGAAGTGATACCTTTCTCATCTCCATAATTACATACCTCTGCTACATGGCAATAAAACAACTTGGTGCTTATAGCCCTCTAGCACTATTTAGAACTGTAATGGAAGAATGTGTGTGTGTGTGTGTGGGGGGGGGAAGAACTCCTGCAATTCATGAAAAGGAACAGCCCCCCCCCTTGGGGAGTTGGGATACACTATGAGACTGTGTTGCAGTTTCTGCTTGTTTGCTCTTGAAAATCTCAAAAACTTAAGTGGATTAATTACTAGCCTGCTGGTCAGTTACAAAATTACAAATATCTTTTTTTCATGTAATTGACCTGAGTAAGTATATATATTTAGGCTTCAATCCAGATTTCATTCCTGTTCCTGGAATGGGGGAAGACTTTCTTGCTTTTCCCTTTCCACTTCAGCCATTTGAACTTTTCCCAAACATGCTCTGATGGGTTGGGAGACACTTTGGAACAATGTTGGAGGTGGTCCAGGGTGTTGTAGGGTGAAGAAAAAGTGAATCAGTCTACTTTCGCCTTTCACTCATAGAATCTTTCTGGATGAAAACTCTTCTGAGGATTGAAGGAATCCTTCCATTTGTGGAAATCAAAGTTTGGATCCAGTCCAGTACATTTCACTCTGACAGTTTATTTGGAGGAGGTTGGGGGAATATATGTCATGATGTAGGTTAAATTTTCTCCCTCGGATATACCAGTGCTTAATTATTTTATAAAAAATGCATTTCATGAATTCATTGATGATAATGAGTGGCTACCAATGACAAAAATAGTATTCTGTAACTTTTGGCAATTTCAAAGTCATAATGTTTTCCAGGTTTTCCAGGTTCCTAGCAAATATATGAAAGTATATATTGAAATATTGAAATATATATATGTCTCAGTGTGAAATGCAAAGAAAAAGTAGTGGCAGTGAGCTGAAGGTGCTATTACAACTTCAATGGAAGAGAGCTGTTGAAATGAATGAATGATTGTGAACATATTGTGAACTGTTCTTTGGGTTAGTCTGTCAATAGTTTTAGTGCCTTTTCCTTTACATTTAAACAATGTAAAGGGAATAGATATTATTATCTTTAAACTTTTACAGGTATTTTAATAAAATAGCTGCATGATATTTAACAATTTAATTACATTAACAATGCAGTGGTGTAATTCTTAGTGTCTGGAAGGCTATAGCTTGTTTTTGCTCTTTTTCCTCTTGTTGCTTTTTGCTTGTTAGTTTCAGCTGTGATGTCATACCAGGGGCTCTTATGTTTGGAGTGTCCCCTTGCTCCCCACAGCTAGCATAGAAAGAACCATTAATCCAGTTGAGTTACTACATTAGAAAGTTTTCCAGTTTCTAGAAAACTTTGCAGTTTGCAGATGATTCAAAACTAGGTGCAGTAGTGAACACCCTGGAAGACAGAATGAAGATCCAGTGATCTTGATAAACTTGAAAGCTGCACTAAAAGCAACAGAATAAGTTTCAGTAGGGGCAAGTGGCAAGTTCTTCACCTAAGGGGGAAAAACCCATTGCATTGATTCAAGATGGGGAATATGTGGCTAAACAGAACTGAAAAAAAGTCTTTGGACTTATTGTGAACAACAGGTTAAATATGAGCTAACAATGTGATGCAGCTGCAAAAAGGGTAAATGCTACTTTGGGATGCATTAATAGAAGTATTACTTTCAAATCACAAGAACTAGTAGTTCCCCTAAACTCTTCACTAGTCAAACCTCATCTGGGATATTGTGTTCAGTTCTTGGCACCAAAGTTTTAAAAAGATGCAGAAAAATTAGAAAGGATCGAGAGGAGGACAAAAATGATCCAGGGTTTGGAAACACTGTCCCATAAGGAGAGACTGAGAGAACTGCGCATGTTCAGCCTTGAGAAGAGATGATTGAAGGGGGACGTGATAATACTCTATAAGTACCTCAAAGGGAAGGTTGGGATTGCTTCTCACTGATACCAGAGTGTAGGACATGGAATAATCAAGTCCAGTTGTGACAACCTAGAAAAGGTTTCCTCACTGTCAGAGCAATATGACAGTGGAACAAGATGCCTAGAGAGATTGTGGGCTCTCCCACACTAGGGACATTCAAGAAGAAACTGAACAGTCTGTTATTAAAACCTATGTAACTGGTAATGGAATATTAAAGTTCTGCCTCTGATATTATACTTCATACCTTATGTAGTAAATTAGTTTAAGCTGTACAATTTGAAACTTTAGCTAGGGGATTTTGAATTTGAATGTTTTTCTATATAAAACATTTTCCATAGAAGGATAATTTTGTATGCAACCTGTCCTTGACCTT